ATCCCTGAGGCTTGGCGATGACATGGCTGAGAGAGACAAGCCTGAAGTTTATTCAGACTGCCTCCATGGATGCCAGGGCTTGATGCGGGGCCTGAGTTTGGCATCGCCCTGGCCGACCCTCCCTTGCTCTCCATCCCTTTCAGAGCATCCTAGACCTGGAGAAGGAAAGAATCCAGCTTCTATGCAACAACTTGAACCAGTATCACCAGCATATTTCTATTTTTGGTCAGACCTTGACCACAGTGAGTAGTGTGTATGTGGGTGGGGGGCGGGCGGGAGGATGTTCTCTGATGTGTGGGACACACACGGATGGGAGGGCACTTGTGTTTAGTACCTTTCTCTGCGTTCCCCGGCACTGCAGTGCCACACCCAGATTCACTGTGCCATCAGCAAGATCGACGTTGAGAAAGACATCCAGTCCCTGGTGGAAGAAACCGCTGCTTTGTCTACAGGGAAAAAATCAGAGTTCCTGCTAACCGATTACTTTGTAAGTATGTGAGGGATTGAGGTTACGTTCCTGGGGAAACTCCAGTCCTGTACGGAGAGGTTCATTTAAGAGGAAACACGTGATATACCAGCAAAAGAAGCATCTTGCTTTTTCAATGAAAACAGTAGACTTTTCTCAAAGAAAGAAGGAAAAAAAACCCAGTGTATGGTTTACAAACTGGGCAAAGGACATTTGTCTTTGGTCTTTTCTGGAAGGGAAATGAAAGCTGGCTGGAGTTTAGATGGAAGCTTGATTCTGTTTCCTTAGCAATAGCACCAGGCAGACAGGTTTCATGGTCTGTAACTAATCGGCGCTTGTCTTAACTGTAGGTGCTGCGTGACAAATTCTCCTCATGCATCGTGGCATGAACCACGTGTTCATGATCTCCCAGTTTGTGGGGGTCAGGAGCTCGGGACGGCTGAGCTGGGGCCAAGGGTTCAGGACTGCAGTCTTGCATGCTGCAACCAAGGGGTATGAGAGTTACAAACAGCTCAAGGATCTCCAGAGGGGAGTCCACCCTCCCAAGCTTGCTCTCCTGGCAGTTGGACAACTGAGGTCCTTGACCCAAACACCAATCCCTACCTCACAACATGAAGACCTGCTCCCCCCAGAACCCATGATCCAATAGATGACCAGAGTGTCCACCAGGGAAGTCATAGTCATCTCAAACGGGGCAATCCATCCCTTCCATTTGTGAGAAGCCATTGCACAAGTGTCCGGACCTGTGCTGCAGACATGGACAGCCACCTCCCCACCCCAGTCCTTCATCCTAGTTTTTCCTTTGCATTTAACCTTGGGAAGGATGCACATGAAAACTCAGAACCCTTCCATGGCTTCTCCTAGCCCACATGGTACACACCCCCAGCCCAGCCTGCAGATTCGGTCAGAACTAGCGAGACAGCGTTTGCTTTCCTGGTTTCTGCTCAGACAACCGGCTTGTGGGTTGCTCTGGACACACCACACACTGCAGCTCTCTCTCTTTTGCGACCACAGTTCGTAGGACTGGAAAAGCTCTTACTGCATTGGATGCAGGGGGCTTTACACTGCAGCTAGCACAGGACTCGGTAAACGTTTGTGACCCTCCCCAGGTGGTGTAGCAGCATGTTCAGATGACAGGTCACTGAAGGACCCTAACTTGGAATCAAGATGATAATCAAAACCAGTTGTCGATGAGTTGATCTCCATGCATGGCTGATCTCATGAGAGTGAGCCTTGTGTTCCACAAGGCTGTCAATGGATGATTCTTTTTATGGCAGTAGAAATGGCAAACCTTTCTTCAGGGATAACTCAATCCCTTTACCTTTCAGTTAGCAGCCGAGCCCATTAACCATCAAGATCGGTCAGGGACTCCAAAGATAAACAGCGAGTATTAAGTGTCTCAGAAGTCCCCTTACTTGTCAAGCAATGATGCGATCAGCGTATAAAGGCTCATCCCCTAAGAACAGGTTGTTCTGTGAAGAACATGGTGGGAAGAAAATGTCTTCTTGTTAAACAGCCATGGGGCATGGAAGCAATCTGTGCAAAGCCAAAGGTTATTGTTTGTTTGTTTTCTTTCATCGAGTAAGATGCAAGCATAGCCAATGAAAGTCTCCGTACAATAATTGGGAGTAGCAGTATTTACTTTCTTTCTCCTTAAGTTGTTAAACACGCCCCTGCCTTCCCCTCCACCACCACCCCAAAGGAAGAAGATCCTAACAATGCAATGGATAAAGAGAGAAGGAAGGCTTCCATCAGATCTAAATTGCTGAGACTGCAGAGAGATATTGAGAAGGCCTCAAGAGACAAAGAAGGTGTGTGCCTACCACACTGAATGACCCACTAATGGAAAGAAAGTATTATACTTGAAAGTTTCAGTTAGAGTGAGGACTACCCTGCTTCTGCTGACTGAACAGGGATCATCTTGTGTGTATGAATTTACATAAGTAAGGGGGGAAAAGAAGACAGGAAGAGGCAAAAAGACATTATAAAATGATGTTTTATAAAACCTATATAAGAATTAAGGAACTCTGGTGGCATGCTACCATAAGTGTTAGTTTACAAATCACAGAGTTGGTGGTTCAAACCCACCAGCAGGAGAAAACTGAGGCTATAGTTTCAGAAACCCTGGGGTGGGGTGGGGTTCTGCTCCATCCCACAAAGTCACTGTGAGTCAGGAGTAACCCAGCAGCAGGGTTGGAGGTGGGTAATGTAAGGATTATATTGCTATTTTTAGAAAGACAGCATCTTACTATCTTTTAGAGACTGGCTGGAATGAGGACTAATTCACTGAAGTTAAAAGATGATAACTTTCCAGTACACAAATGTTTTGTTTCTTTTTAATTTTTAAAATTTTATTAAATTTCATTTTTATTAAGATATTATTTTATTGGAGACGCTTTCAACTTTTATTACAATCTATACATCAATTGTATCAGGCATATTTGTATATATGTTGCCATCATTCTTTTCTAGACATTTACTTTCTATTGAGCCCTTGGGATCAGCTCCTCTGTGACCCCTTGATAGGTTACAAATTATTATTATTTTCATATCTTACACAAACCACTGTCTCCCTTCCCCCATGGTGTCTGTTGTTTTTCCCCCTGGAGGGATGTGTGGTTACATGTCGATCATCACCATCGGTTCCCGTTTCCTCCCACTCCCCTCCTTCCCCCTACCCTTCTGGCATCGCTGTTCCCGTTCCTGTTCCTAGATTCTGTGTGTCATCAGCTCTTATCTCGTATCTACACCTGTGTACATGCTCCAGTCTATCCGAGGGGAGAAGCAGCACTGGGGTCATGATAGTGGGGCATGAGGAAGCCTCCAGGAACCAAAGGAATATTGTGTTTCATTAAAAAAAAACCACACAATTTCTTAGTGTAAATTATGTGTGTAGGGAGATGCATTTCCGATGATCAACTTTATATCCAACAGTTTACACCACTAACCAACAGCTCGCCCTTCCTTGCTCCTTGATTTCTCCTCTCCCTCTGGTGGACCTCCATTCCCCAGTTCCCCTACGTAACGCCTGCCATGTGTCTAATCTGTTGCTTCTCTTGCCCTTGCAGCCCCCTGGGCAATCCCCAAAGTCTGTCCAACCATTAGCTTGCTTTCTTTTTCCCCTGACATCAGTGGTCTCATGCAACATTTGTCCTTTTGTGAGTGGCTGATTTCTCCAGGTCCATCTGTGTCACGAGGTGCTCTGTGGATTCATCGTGGCTGTGTTAGCCGTCGTGACTGTAGTAGTGTCCCATCTTTGTGGATTCATC